TACGACGGTGGGAAAGAGAAGAGACTGAAGCAGTGACGCCATGCCAGGACCAACAACAAATTAAGATTCTATGTATTTTATTAAAAATATCTAAATATATAGCAAGAGCACAATACCATATATGTCAACAATATTTTAAGCATGGATGAATGGTAAACTTGTAAATGGGTAAGATAGGTTCTAGCTTTAAAAATATCTAGTACAACGGAGTGAACCTACTTAGCAATAAGTTATTGAAGATCAAAGTTTACTGTAAAGCAAGAATTATATACATAAATTGATATGTCTATTAATGTTGTATCATTCGAACAACGCTAAAACCTTTGAGATCAGTGGAGATATCGTGGTCACGATTATCCCAAGATCAAATAAGCACACAAAATCCAGGAGGTAAGATTTATACATCCTCTTAATGTAACAGAGAGAGGTATACACAACTACACACCCACATGAATGCACACACGCAAATATAACTTTTATTGACTAGAAGTGGAAATGGTGTTTATATATCAAAGTACAATTTGGGTTAAGATGTGTGTTTACCGATGAGAAACACGATCTCAGGGCAGGAGGTGATGTTTTAAATCTGGGTCACTAGTAAACAATGGGGATGGGCGAGATACTTGGTTTTGTTTAACAGTATTTTTTTTTATCAAAAAGTTTAATCAATGTTTAGATATCCCAAAGTATAATTATGGTGAAGCGTGAAGAACTCGTGATTGAGATAAGGTAAATAATTGGAGAATAGGTTTACATGTCAAGGGATAGTTTTTGGCACTCGTTGTAGCTGCGTGCCAGGCCGAGGTTCAATTATGATCAGCTGATCCTTTTTCTATATTAACTCGAGATTTTGCTAATAAAGCAGAGTCGGGGAAAGAGACTGTAGTCGAGAGAGTCACGAGACTATCGTCGCAGTGAGTCGAGAGATTTGCGGGAGAATTTTGGAGGAGAGAGAGAAGACTAACGCCTGTTCTGAGAAGTCTGTATGAGACGGGACTATTTGTCATAAACCTACCCCAGGCGATTCAATACGCGTTTATCACACACAAACCCTCACTCTGTTGGGAATTCGCTGGATGCATTTTGTCTTTTTCTTTTCTCATTTATGTTAAATGTTTTTATTCTCCCTGTAACCTCTGTTCTGATGTTATCTTCTTATATAAAAGATGTCAATATTTCCTCCATTGTTGTCTGGCTCCTGCAGATATTATTTCTTGTTTTATTTTGCCACATTCTAAACTTCCTAGCGCCAACTCTCACAGCCGTGTCCACATCCCCAGTCGACCGTGAACGTATGGACAACACCCCGCTTACTGGATCTAAAAACTAACACAGCGTGGGCAGCGAGCAGGACTTGACCAGTTGACCGGTCGGAATAATCTACGGGTACACAGGGAGCGTACGGCCAGTTACCCCTAATTTCAATTCGGACCGAGTGGACACTTCAACCCAAAGAGGAAGACGCCGGAGATTGAGGTACTGGGAAGGAAGTGGTAGATTAAGCCCAGTTAATCTTACATATATAGAACAAGTTCCGCTTTCTTTAATGACATTATTGCCATACTATATCTACTCTTTATATTAAATATTAGAATTCTATATTATTAGATATTATTTGAATAAGACATTATTGTAAATAGATATTATTTAAATATTATTAGATATTATTATCTCGTCGAGCCTTACACCGGGTCATGTTGAGTAATTCTCTTCTCCGAAAGGTGAATGGTTCCGCCTATACAGTCAGCTTCACAGTGATATTTAAATGCATTCATTAATTCATGCAAGTAGCGCATTTTGCGCCATTGCGGTCACCTAATCTTGCTGTCATTGTGGTTCATTGTGACATTCAAGTCAAAATAGTAAAATAGCTTGTCGGTTCCTATTGTACCGGGGATGTTGAGGTTACCCCGTACCTCCTCTCAGAATTTCCACCGCCTACTGGTAAAGCCTTTAATCTCCGAGGCGCAACTTCTACGATACAGCTGGCGACTGGCCAATGGACGCTTGGCACATGTAGGTAGTGGAGAAGCTTTCCGCTTCACCAGTCGCGTCAGGGAACCCTTCCGACAACACAGGCACAGTTTAGCCGTCAGGTCGATGCCGTTAACCGGAGTGTAGCCGTCGCAGTGGCCATGCAACTTCTTGGTGTCATGTGTGAGAGGTAGATGTAGGCGGATGAGTATAGTTCCGCATCCCTATTCCCCCTAAGTAAGGTCGACCGCTTCACTGCAAATGTAATAACGCTGACGATACACCAAAACAATAATAAATATATATATATATATATATATATATATATATATATATATATATATATATATATTAGTTAGTTTTAAAGATAGCCAGGCATCTTTCTGAATTGATTTCAACATAGGTGGAGGAGAGGATGTAATGTGTAATTGATCGAAAAATAACATTGCCTGATACAGGTAAATTGTATGAACACAAGAAAAATAACTAAAAAGGTTATCGCAGTACCGTGTCTGTCGTATTTAAC